ATGTACCTGTACACTTTTTGCCTAACATAGAATTTTGTTAGTATTTAATAATACACTGTTTCTTAGCAAAGGAAGTGAAATAAATAGAATAAGTTTAACTGATTTTATTACTTTATTAACTGGTTTCCCACTTGATAAACTATATACCTAGTAATTTAGAACAGAAATGATCAATCTACATATCAGCTACGTACTACTCCAAAGATCTGATGTCACTCACCATGCACACACAACTGTGCACACCCATGTGCACACGTACACCCATATCCATACGCACACAAACATGTGCAGACCATTTGCACAAAACTGGATTTCTACAACGTGATTGGATTGTTTTAGTAAACTCACTTTTTGGTCATATTCATTACAAAAAAGGAAGTAGGAAAAATGGGCCTTTTAAGGAAGGGCTGCAGGAAGTAATTTAAATAAATATTATATTTCAAGAAGTTAAACTAGCTCAAAAGAGAGGGACGAATAGTATGAATGAGTTTAGTTTATAAATCCAAGTTTCTAGACCATAAATTCAGTTGATTAGAGCACAATGTATTTAATAAGGCTAATGCAACAGCTTGGGTTAATATGCAGATCTACTAACTATATAGAAGGGGCTATGCTGTTGTTATTAGTGGGTTGGAATGAAGTTAGCATTTGAGAACTAAGTAACAGGCAGGTAAGTAAGAGCTGTTACAGTGAGAGCATGTCACCAGCTAGTCCTTTGGTAAATTCAAGCTCCAAATCTTCTGAGAGAAGCTACAGAGGAAAAATCTCCCTTGGGAGCAGTAATGCTGTTTGTCATCCAGATCTACCACTGAATTTGTAGTTGAGGCCAATGGAGAAGTAAAAGTTATAAGGACAAGTGAACATTGATCAGCTGTGTATCCAGCACTTGGGTTGAAACAGCAGTAATTGGGGCCAGGGTCCTAAGCACAATAGCAATAGCGAGGAATCTCCAAAGTGCACCTTCAGGGACCACAGTACAAGCTAGAAGGGGGCCCTCCCTCTTTTACCAACCTTGAGAATGAGGTTTGCCTGGGGATGAGCTTGTAGATCTCCTTACACACTTACTTACTCTACACATCAAATTGATGGAATGATTTTTAGGAGTCTCAACTTTTTCAAGAACGAGAAAAAACAATTAAAAACATGCATTTTGCTAAATTACTGGTACAATAAGAGAATATGGATGATTCTATAAAGCTCATTACTGAGAAATAATCCAAAAGTCAGATTTGGCTATTAGGGAATTGGGAGTATCATGTTCTTAAGGGAGTCCCCTCATGTCAGATTAAGTGGATGACAAACAAAAGCCTGAATTTCACTGGAAACACTTCACACCATTTGGATCACACGATAATAGTGGAGACTATGGCTTATACTTTATGATCTCACAAAGTTGGCAGCAAAAACATACCAATTTTTGTTACCCAGATCTCATTAAACTGCTTCACAACCAGTGGTTCTTAGACTAGTGGCATAAAGGTAACTGAACTTTGAATACTTGGGTTTCTGGATTCAATTGCTCTCCATGGGAATGCCTGATTATAACTGTAAGACCACAGGTTACTCTTTGACTATAAGGGCATGATTACTGACTCATCCTCCCCCAACCCCCCCATTTAAGAGAACCCACTAATGACAACTGGTGGGCTGTGATTAATACTGTTATCTGATTAATACTAACTGGCCCACATTGGAATCAAAATTCTTGATCAACATATTGTTTAACCAGCTGAGATGTAGTAAATACATGTAAGGGGCTAAAGAAAACCTCACAACTTGCATATCGAATGAACGTTCTCTTAGTCAAATCAGGAATTTATATGCTTTAATGACTATCATCAAAAGCAATGGTTCCCAAATTTAGCTGAACAAAAGAAGCACCTCAGACCTACTAAGTCAAAATCTACGAGGTATTAGTTTTAAAGCTTCCCTAGAAAACCCTGGTGTGCAATTAGGTTTTAAAATACCAGTGCCGGGGCACCTGGGTGGCTCAGTGGGTTGAGCCTCTGCCTTCGGCTCGGGTCATGATCCCAGGGTCCTGGGATCGAGCCCCGCATCGGGCTCTCTGCTCAGCGGGGAACCTGCTTCCTCCTCTCTCTCTGCCTGCCTCTCTGCCTACTTGTGATCTCTGTCAAATAAACAAATAAAATATTTAAAAAAAAATAAATAAAAAAAATACCAGTGCCACTTGCTGATCCGCTTTGGGAATAGTTTTTTTAAAATTCTGTAGTATGCTTGTATAACCTTAATGACTACAACCCTCCAGTTCTTTGAGAATGGATTACATTATTTTTTAATTAGCCCAAGTCAGTTCGGTGAATATGGATGCCTTATTACAAATTTGGATAATACCAATTTTTGTTAAAGCATTAAGAATACATAGGAGTACTGCAAAATAGGTTTGCAGACAAACATGAAAGCATGTGTGAACATAGTGTGCCTACGTTTTAACTTTGAAGGCCATTCCACTCCCTTTTCCTTCTTCATTTAGCTGGATTCCATGCCCTTCTGCTAAGTTTTCTGTCTCTTTTGGCCTACAAACCCATTCCATTTAAAAACTGGACTGACTAGTGGTTATTTTTTAATAGAGGACAGTATCAATATGGGAAATAAAATTTAGGATGAATTCTACAGTTCCTGATATTGGACATCAGTTATATAATCTGAATATACCATATATACCAATACACATGGCTAGTATTACCAATTTTTCTCTTGTGCACAATCTGTAAGTTTTACAGTATCAAATTCTCCAGGGAATACTTTCTAATAAATCAACAGAAACTTCCACCAAAATACACACAAAAAATCTACCCTCAGATTCAAATTCAATTTATAAAATTCTGTCCACACTTTACCAAAATCAATCAGTCACTGGGGACACGTTAACACTCATTACAAGCATAGGGTTTGGAATCAGACAGATTTAGGCCCAAATCCCACACCCTAGTAACTATTCATAGGCTCTTGAATAAGGTTTTGTATCATTCAGTCTGAATTTCTTCGGATGTTGTGAGAGTCAAGAGGACTTTAAAATCAGCATTAAATATCATCTGAACAACTGAGTGGTCGGTCTACATTTTCCACTTTTTACCTAGTTGCAAACCAAAGACCAAATTATTTCCATTTATGAAAGTACAAAACATAATTCTTACACCATATTATTTGTCATACCTCCAATAATGCAGTACACATCTTAACTTCTGAAGCTGAATCCTTTAAAACTTCCTGCTAAGACACTTGGTGACCATGAAGTGAATTCATCTGATACCTCCAGAGCGCCTACCCCACCACATGCCAGGCATTGTGCTGAGGCACTGAAGAAGTACAACTGCAGAAAAGAATTTTGAGACTTCAAATTTTAATTTTCCCATACTGCAAGAATTTAATATAGTTTTGTGTTATTTGAACTGTACTTTTATCCAACTATTCAAATTTAACAATTTGTTACTAAAAAATATGCAAGATTGTTTTGAGCTCCTCCCATAAAATTACAAGGCCATGTCTGCTTGATTCATTCATTGGAGGGTCAATTTAGGCCCTAATATGAGGATCAGACACTTAAGTGACACCATTGCAAATTTGCTATCTCTAAAATTCATCAAGGACTTTTCAAGACTTTCCAGCTATTCAGGTTCTCCTGAGGGCTTCATGCTCCATCTCTGCACTGTTCCCTGTTAAATTCACTGTAACTATTACGCCTCCTCAAACTTCTAGCTAGATAATGGATTTGGTACAAGGCATGCAAAGGAAAAAATGTCTTTTAGAATTCAAGATTTGAATTTAAGCTCCATTTAAGCAAGAAAATGTCTTTTAGAATTCAAGATTTGAATTTAAGTTCCATTTAAGCATCTATCCATGCAACCCACTAGAGTATGTAAAACTTGCACTAAGCTTCCAGAATAGCAGGGATTGCCTTCCGTTTCCCTTCCTACACAAAACTGATGACCAGTAAGATGAAGTATATCAAGTTCCATACCAAGATGCGTGGTGTACTAAGTTTAGTTTGTTAAGTAAGAGTGATTTTGCCATATCCTCTAACTTTCCTTCCTGTGAATGAGGTATGGAGTAAAATAATGAATTTATAAACAGAAAGTTACATCAAGTGACACTGTCTCAGGAGTTAGAACAGAGTATCAAACCCAGGCCCAACTGGCTTGGCTGTGCCATTTCCTAGCAGTACCCTTAGGCAACATTGACATAATAGACAATTTCCATCTTACAAAGCTCATGCGATGACTAATTAATGCACATGAAACAGAACAGTGTCTGGCACGTGGTAATAAGGATGTAAATGTTGTTATTAACTGTTTGCTTAACACTTATTTATCCCTGCTTTGGGGAATAGAAATAATTCATAATAATTTTGCTAACCTGAAATGTTTTAACGTTCATATCCATGGAACACAAAATACCTACTGACTATATGCACCATATAGTAAAATATAAGATCTTCAATTTTCGTTATCTAACAGTCTTCCTCCCCAAGTGGAGACAAACTAATAGCAGTAAAAGTCAGATAGCTTATATCAAATTAGGCTATAAAAATTGAGTCTCAAGTTACAGTAGATAGGCAAAAATAAAACCTGTATACTAGTCAGCTATTCAAAATAAGTATCTAAAAATGTAACAAAAATAGCATCATCTGGATTTAACATTTTGAAATTATTTTCCAAATTGAGGAACTAAATAATATTTAGAAACCCTAGATGATGCCAATGTACTAGTTTTCCAGGGATGCAGGCATAATCTTGAGCTCACTCACTGGTTGTCTCCTAAGCCTTTCTTGATACCTAACATACACACTGGGGGAATGGAATATCAACAGTGCTTTACTAGGACAAGGATTCTTATGGAGAAGGTCTATCAGCATCCTGGGGCTTTGGGAGCTGTACATATCTAGGTATACAATGCTACAACAGGTGATTCTAATACATCCTTTGGAGAGACATGTGTCCCTTCCCCCATCCCCTTTTAAAATTCACTGACATAAAGAATCCTTGTATTCACAACCACATTTTATTTTGTGAGGCTGTGTTCCCTAATTGCAATGAATTTTCAATCTTTAAATAATATAACTATATAACAATTCAAAATAAACACTGTCCTGGATTTGAAAATGATAGCAGAGAATTACAACTTAACAAGTAAACAAAGATTACATCATTTTTGCAGTTAGAAAACTATGAATCCACCCTCGAAATTCTTCAAGTAAGTCATCAAAATTTATTCACATCAACAGGATTAAATGATTAGGATGTATTATTCTTTGAAATTAAGACATTAAAGAACTGAGAAAAACAGCATGAATGACCACTTGCTGAAAAGAAAGCAATGTCAACACGTACCATTATGAGCTTTATGAGCTAAAATAATAATTAAGAGTCAAAACGTGTAACTGTGTTAGGTGACCCATTTTTGTTTTTCACTGCAGTTATCATTCTCTGGCCATTCAACCCAACTGGAGTTCAGAAACGTGTTTCAGTGTACTTATCAGCATTTAGAAGCATAAACATGAACCTGTACTCCCAAACTAGCATCTCAAAGCTCTAGATCTACATCTGATTTGTACAACCATACTTGAGACAAAATATAAATTTAACTTTACTGATTTTTAGTGGTTTAAAGTAGCACTTAAATTTGCGTTTACTGAAATTTCCTATGAAGTTTTTGTACCTTTCATATTTATTAACTCAACAATCTGAATTGTTCTATTTCCCAAGGTGTCATAATTATTTAATTGGGGACTGAAAGCAACAAAACAACTGTGCTACCTAAACTACCAGTATCTTCCTATAGACAAACACCCTCCCATTACAGAAATCCAATTATGAAAATCACAAGAGTGGAACCCTTCGGCTCACCATTCTACACCTGCCCTACTAGGGCTCAAGTATGGTAAAAGTATCCTGAGAATAATGTTCATGATAGTTTTCATCTGCATCTTAACTGCATCATGTAAAAGTGGAAAATGTAGAGATTAAGAGCATAAGGCTTATAATTCTACAGTACAAATGGAGAGAAATTAAATGCAGTAAGAGAATATTTGCCAAGTTTAAAAGGAAAATTATAACCCAAAGAGACGCATGGGGAAAAATATTTACGTGGAGTTTTTAATCCATTTTAGAATTCAGTTGTTGTAACTTGACCATAAATTTAAACAGAAACCATCTTCTGAGACATACATTCTAATATATGTATCAACAGTACTGATAGTCAACCAAGAGTTGGTTATTTCAACTCATTAGTAACATTCCACTTTTCTATCCAACATCAACCTATAGTGGTTTGCCCCAATTACACGGCTGAAACACTGTCTTATGAAAACAAAATGAAACAAAATTAAATAAAATTGAAGATAAAAATACTCTGAAGTTAAAGCAAACTATAATCCTTGGTGGATCAATCATGTAAAAAACATTGGTGAAAGTTGGAAGCACAGGATAACTGACATGAATCTTCAGCACAAAGTACATCTTTGAAAACATGAAACGATGACTCTTTGGAGGACAACAGCTAAATACCCAAGAATCATCAGGTTTGAAAAATATTGCTTAATCACTTCCCAAAACACAGCTGCAAGAACTGAAGATCTCGTTAAAAAATATCAAGGTAATCATATTTATTGCATCTTTAGAATGCATTTTAAACAGAAAATTAACAGTGCACCCCAGCTTCACCAAAATATATATTTAAGAGAGGGGCAACCTAAGATATTTATAAACAAAGTACCGGCTGTATGTGCTTTTCAAGGGTCTGAATTCAATACAACCAGCTGCTAACTTTGTGCTCTGACATACTTGAATTAGTGGGTGTGTGCATACTAAATCATTTATTTTTGTCAATAATAAATGAAATAAAAACACTGCCCTATACAATCCACTATTAGCAGTGAGTACAACAGCAAAAAATTATTATACAATTTATACATACTAAAATATTTTCTCTCTCTAGAGATAACGTAAAACAAAACCCAATCATTAGAGGACTTAATTTGGGAATCTCAAAATACAATAGGGGAAAACCAAATCAGGGAGTGTATAGAGCCCAAAATAAAGGTTCCTGGTCATAAGGCTAGAAGATTAGTAAGTGCATATGGTAGAATAAAGCATGCTCATCAAATGTATGCTTGGGTCTGTGTATATTTATCAAACCTTTAAATTAAACAAGACTAGCTAAAGAAGTGTCTTAAGCAGAGCAAGATTAACTGGGAACTGTGTCATTTCTTTTACCATTTTTGTTACCCAACTTATACAATGCGCAAAGTGCTAAGCAACACTACAAAAACACATTTACATCAACACTGAAGACCTGGGGAAATGAAATCCAACAATTTTATTTTAATGAGCTGTATTTTCTAAATTTTTGTTTTATTTTTTCCTGTTTTCATACAGTATTGAAAACAAAACGCGGCACATTCACATTTTCCCGAGGAACTGTAAAGATGATCTCTACAGGGATAAACGTTGTAAAGCCTGAAGCTCAATCAACTGATGTTGAAAACTCTCAAAGGGAGTAAAGGCTTGATCTGAATGGTCTAGAACATGTACTGTAATTTAATAGAAGAGATGGTCGTCTTAATATTTAATGATTTAAAAGAACTTCTCAGTCCATGCGGAAGAGTACAGTCCAAGAATAAATCAAATTTCTGAACGCATTTTATGCTACATATGTGTATACTTTGCGATCCTCAGGTGTTCGTGCCAAATATTCTCTCTCAATAAGTCCTTCAATACGTTTCTTAATAACAACTGGACTTGGTAAGAATCGAGCCTTCAATTGCTGAGTTACCTAAAAGAGAAAGTAAAAAAAAACTAATTCCTACCAGAAAATTTTTAAAATGTATTAACATCTCCATATAAACACACAAAAATTCTTATCTTTGAAAAGAAGTGATGTGTCATTTTAAGATTCAGATCAAATTCTACTAATCAGATTACCAAACTCAAAAATTTAACTTTAAGAAGGCTTTATTTGAAAATGTAATATATGGGTTAGAACATGCCTCCTTCACATGAGAATATGAATGCTGAAGTGGGTTAGTAGCTGAATTAGTTGGACTATATGAACGCATAGCAGATTATGGTTTAACCATTCTGATGGTCTAAATGTACTAACCTCTCTGTTACTCTCCCAACTCACAGAATTTAGGAACCATGATGTATTTAAGAGCACAGACTCTGGACCCCAGAGTATCTAGATTCAAATCCTAGCTCTCCCATTTATGACCACTGGACCCCTGAGAAAGTAAAGTCATTGCATATGCTAAATGAATTAATGGTGCTTCCTGGTCCTAGTAAATGCTACTGTTGTCATTCTTTTCTCCAGCTGTTGTCAGGATTCTAGGTACTGTGACACTGGTAAAAATAAAATGGTAACTACAGCAACAGCTGAAGTCTGTGCATTGTGTATCAGTCACTCTGTATACATATATTTATTTATTTATTTAGTGCTCTTAAACCTGCAAAGTGGGTTGTCTTTTACAAATAAGGAAAACAGCCAGACAGTAAGACGGACATGCATGCATTATAGTAAACAGAGCCAGGAGTCAGAGATGAGAACCAAACCCTTCTGCCCGCAAAGATCGTTTTCCCCACTGACCCTTCGGGCCTCTCTTGCAGAATACCCATCCACCCAAAAGCCAGCTTTCCTTTTACTCCTATTGGAGAGTTCATTTCCCAGAGCCGCAATGGATCGGCAATTCTTTGAAATGTGAACTTCAGTACTTCTGCCTCTAGCTAAAAATCTATCTTCCTTCTGGTATTATCCCTCCAGTATCAACAAACTTGTTCTCAACCCATGTGAGATCTCTCATCCTCTGACCCTTTCTTCTAAGCTACTAACAATTTCTTCTGACCTACCTCCTTGACGGGGTCCAGACTGCAGGCAGGATCACTTTCAGCTACACTCTGAACAGTACCCTCAACTCCCAGATTCCTTTGGTACTCTTCAACAAAAATCTGCTTCACATTTACATCATTCAGAATCTACTACTTGGGTTCCTTGCTGAGTAAAGTCATCATTTTTACACCTTTGGGGCAGACCAGGAGACAAGATGCAGCCCAAAGGCCAAACAGCCCTGCGGCCTATTTTGTAAATCCTTACTGGAACACAGCCACACTCCTTTGTTATCGGTGGCTGCTTTCACACTACAACTGGCCATTATATCGATCTCTGGTACACAGTGGTAACAAAAACTTCATGTGTTCAAGTTCAGCAAGTTCCTGAGCACCCTCACCTCACATCCTGTTTCAGTCTGCAATTCCTCACATTCCGACACCGTGCACATACACATTTATTCACACTTGTATCCACCCTTGTTTAGCACACCCCCTGCACCCTGCCCTCTGCCCTGGGTTCTCGAGAGAGGCATAGTCAGTACTATCCTTGTCAACACGTCTACCACCCACCTGTGTTCCCTACACAGTCCTCTCACCTTTCAACTGTCCCTCAGCCCCCATTTTCTTTCAAGTATTCCTTCTTTATTCCTAGGATATAAACATGAATATCTTCCCATAAGAAAAACAAAATCCAGGACACCCCAACTTAACACTCAGTCCCCTAGTATTGTTCTCTGCTCCTTCCCATGAGCCAGCATCTCAAAGGACAAGGCCCCTTCTTGGTGCTTTCAGCTCTACTTCCTTCTCGAAGCACTGCCATCAATGTCACTCTACCAGAGCCATGAAAATAGCTGAGAAAACTAATGAGTTACCTAATTAGCAACATGGCATTAGTTTCGAAATGACTGACCAATCACTCATATAATTCTTTCTCTGCCAATGTGATATAAAAGTCAGCTTGTACAAAATACCGCAAATGCAGAACATAGTAGCACGCTGCCCCTTCCTCCCTCCATTTAGCCTCCAAACCAGAAAACTAGGAGTCCTTGACTCCCTTCGTTTCCCATGACCAGTAAGTCCTGTCGGTTCTACTTCCATTCATCTTCACTTAGCTCTCTATCCTCTACCAATACTTTATTCAGCCCTAATCATTCTTACCCATTCCAATGGCAACACTGACTTTTAAAAATAATGGTAGCTTGTTTAATACAAAAATATTAAGTAGTAGGGAAAATTTTTTATTCTTCGTGTGACAATTTTCTATTATTTTTTATTACGAATATATTAGTTCTTAAAGTGTGCACATATTTGGATGTACTGATGTGTTTAATTATCAAGTAACTGCCATACTTTTAATGATAAATGTTACCTGACTCTGGTTTCCTAATTTTAAAACTGTATTTTAAACAACTTGAATATAGTGATTTCCTAAATGTGAACTGTCAATATTTATTTTGCTTTTCCTACGTTAATGTAGTCTTGAAGCACCCTCACCTCTGCTACTAATACATTGTGCTGCATCTTCTTTCTGGATTTCATTATCCGCACAATAGCAGCTTCGATCTCATGTTTTCTGTCGTCGTCCACTTTCTGCCTCGTTTCTTTCCTTTCTGGGTCAGATTCACCTTGTTTGGCAGCAACTAAAAGAGAAAGACACTTACCATGTAACTACCATTGATAAAAAAATGCAGTTTATAAACAAACAATATAATTTAGAAAATTACCTACAAAGAAAAACCAATTTCCCATGAGTATACATTAATTCAAGTAAACATTCAAAAGGTGCCTAATTCAATGTTTAACAAATATTTAAACAATTAATAATCATGTATATAAAAAAAATCTTACAATTCTACCTTTTCTTTTTAAATATTAGGAATTTAATTTTATAGAGATAATAAAACCAATTTTATTTTTATAAAATAGAAGGATTCCTCTTCTGGAAGAAAAATGGCAGCCGGATGTATTTAGTAGAAAAATTACCAGAGAATAATTTTCATTGCAGAGCCAACTAGTATTTTACTAACATCACCCCAAGACACTTTAAAAGAAGCAAAGAGTTATGTGTTGGCAAGATGCAGTTAGCTCAACAAATAGTTAGAAAGTACCACTAAGATGTCAGTTAAAGGAGTAAGTAATTTATCTGTACTTGTCACAGACTACCTAAAAATTTCTTATCATATATCTTATTATAATTTTTTTCCATCACAATCTCATTATCACTAATGCATACACTATTCCAGCCTTCTGGAAAAGAGAAGTCTTACTCTGTTATTCCCTACTGTCTTCAAGGCAATTGCTCAGGGATTAAATACTGAAGTCCCTTTCTTTTACAACTCTGTTCTAACTGAAGTAAGAGAAAGAAAAATGGCATCTGATTTTTCATTTGGTCATCAATAAGAGATAGGTATGAAATTTCTGGAGGCAGAAACTGGAAATTACAAAGAAGCTCTTAAGACATTGCTGACTTAGGCAAAGGCATACCCACAAGACAGCAGACACTACAATTTAGCAGAACATCATTCTGGTGTGCATATCTATTCAGGTGCTTCTCATTAGAACCCCTTGGTTAAGAATTCTATTTTCAGTATCTTTTCCCAAGTTAAAAATAATCAGTATCTTAACAAAAAAGAGTAAAATTAGATTAAGATGACCTACTAACAAAGAATAAATAATGCTTTTCCTCAAAAAAGTCAATGTCATAAAAAAAAAAAAGAGGTACTGGTTTAGAGTAAATAGAAATTAAAAGGACATAAAAATCAATGTAATGCGGACACCATGATTGAATCCTAGATTTAAAAAGTGATATGAAAGACAATTTTTTTTTTTTTTACGATTTACTTATCTTAGAGAGTGAGAGTGTGTGTATGAGTGTGGGTGGGGGACAGATGGCAAAGAGAGAACTTCAAGCAGACTCCCTGCTAAGCGCAGAGCCCAACTCAGGGCTTGATCCCATGATTCTGAGATCATGACTAAAGCTGAAATCAAGAGTTAGATGGTTAACCAACTGAGCCACCTAGGTGGCCCTGAAAGGCATTTTTGAGACAACTGTGGACAAATAAATATGGGTGGTACACAAATATTTATTTATGCAAATAAATATGTATGGAATTATTCATTTTCTTGGGTACGATATAGTATTACAATTATTTTAGAAAAAAATATTAGCCTAAAGAAGTAAATGTATGCTGAAGTATTTGGGGTGGGGAGAAGTGTGATGTTTGTTGAATAACATGCTGTAGCAAATACATACATACATGTATATATTTGAGGAAAGGGCGAGGGTAGAGTCAAAGGCACCAGAGCAAATGGGGCAAAAAGTTTAATGACTCATAAATACCGGTGATGGCCATAACCTTCATCCATTATGGTGTTTCTTACTTATTCTATGGATTTGAAAATATTTAAAATAAAATGTTGGAGGAAGAAATAATTTTTTAAAAAACAACCTATTTTGCTCTGTTGGTTTTGGCCGCCTAAAGAGGTATATTCCAAAATAAATGGGAACACTGCGGTGATACATACTGAATTTAAATGTTTTGTAAAATGTGGGGGCAGGAGCTCACTCCCAGAGCCTCACACCATACCTTCCCTTAAGAAGAAGGTAACAGAGGCATTTGCTTGTGTAATGGGGTACATATGTATCTGGCTGTATCAAGGAAAGGGCAATGGAAACGTGAATGGTGGTGGTGAGGAATATGAACTATGGAAACTGCTGTAGATTACAACAAATCTTTTCAAAGGTTGTGTTATTTAATACTTATAACTTCTTTGAACTTCTATTAATGACTATAGTAAAAGGCAGAATTAGGTAAGGACAGAAGAGTCTCTGCATCTTTGATTATGAGCCAAAAGGCAGGGCTGTATTTTGACAGCTTAAGAAAACCTATGTGGTCACAATACTTATCACCAGGGAGAAAATTTTAACTTACACTAAATGTTTTTAAGTGATGATAATAATCTAAGTAATATTTCAAAATGAAAACATTATTTCTTCACAGAATTTTATAGCTGAAAAGAACATTAAAGACATCACCTAGTTGAATTCCTTATCATATACAACTGTATTCCCATTTTAATTAGATTTAAAGTACTATACACACACACTTAACATCAAAAAAAATTTTTTTTTTAATCTGAGAGAGGAAGCAAATGAGAGTGAAAGTGGGAGGAGGGCAGAGGAAGGAGGGCGAGAAAATCCCAAGCAGGCTCCACGCCTAGCATAGAGCCTCAGGCCTTGATCTCACAACTCCGAGATCATGACCTGAGCCAAAATTGAAAGCTGGACACTTAACTGAACAGGCCACCCAGGTGCCCCTAAAAAATTCTATTTTAAACAGATCTAAAATACTACACAAAGACCAGCACCACCCACAATTAAAAATCCATGAAGAGAAGACTATTTTTTTGATAACAATAACAGTATCTGAAACTACTACTACTGGACATGATGGAATCTGGGATTACAGAGTTACACTTAGGCTAAAGCAGGGTGAAGTTTGGTAATTCAGATGTATGTACATCCCCACACATCTTCCTCTAAATCTAGGATACAAACAAGTCCTAAAATCCAGAACCTGTATCTGCCCCAAACTATAAAGTCTTATGTCTCACACTGGGGAAAACAAGGTATTTATTCCATGAATCTCTTTAGTGCAGTTCTATTTTATTTTCAATTTACATCTGTGTCCACACATGGGGCCATTTTGGTGATGAAGATACAATGATATGGTCTGCAACTATGGGACAAAGTAGACAACGCTTTAAAAGAGACACCACTCTGCTTCAGAGGGCATACAAATACCAATCAGGGTCAAAAAGGTCCGCAGAAGGGTGTAGGTAACATTTTGAATGAACGTAATCTGGCAATCAATTACATATTTGACATAATAATTTTTTAAAAGACTTCATCTTTTTATTAGTGTAAAATATGAACACAGTTTTTTTAAAATCAAAAGAACTGCAATCACTTTAAAAACTTATTTTAAAATACTGTTTCAATACACAGACTACATGCACAGCTGTGATGGATGAAGTCAGCCCTGGGAAGTTTATCTAACACTAAATCTGAAATCAGGGAGCAAACTATATGTTAGAATTTTAAACATTCGCAAAGGTAAGTTGCCTTTTCCCCCTTAAATACACCAAAAACATACTTCACACATTATGGTAAATGTATAATCAACAGGATGCTCATTATTAATTAAAAGTAAAAACATACTAAGAATCATTCACAATAGGATCACTTCTATGTTTTTAAAGTAGAGAGATAATATGGGTTTCAAAGTTTTGAAACTTAAAAGATCCTCTACTAAAACAAATGGCTGCATCTAAAAATCACACAGGATAACCCCACTATGAGAAATATATAAATCAGTTTTAAAAATAGATGTCCACTGGGGCGCCTGGGTGGCTCAGTGGGTTAAAGCCTCTGCCTTCGGCTCGGGTCATGATCCCAGGGTCCTGGGATCGAGCCCCGCATCAGGCTCCCTGCTCAGTGGGGAGCCTGCTTCCCCCTCTCTCTCTGCCTGCCTCCCTGCCTACTTGTGATCTGTCAAATAAATAAGTAAATTCTTAAAAAAAAAAAAAAAAAAAAAAAAGATGTCCATTATTGGTTAACTCAGCCAGTTAAAAAGTTATTTTGTTAACTTCTAATATATTAACAAAATTCTATTTCATTACTGAAAACCGTACAGAAAGAAGTACACTTTTCACACTACCAATTACTTTTTTAAATGCTTACTGTACTTGGATTTAACTGTATTTTGACAGGAACACGTAAGAATAAAAACTACTTTACTCCTTAAGCCTATGCGTCATGCAGCACCAGAAAAGCCTTACTTTTTAAAATTCTTTAAGATTTTATTCATTAGACAGAGACAGTGAGTGAGCACAAGCAGAGGGAGCAGAAGGCAGAGGGAGAGGAAGAAGCAGACTCCCTGCTCTGCAGGGAGCCCCATAATGGACTAGATCCCAGGGCCCTGGGATGAGGACCTGAGCTGAAGGCAGACACTTAACCGACTGAGTCACCGAGGCACCCCAAGCATTACTTTTTTCAAAGACAGAACTCCAACAGATAATAATTTCTTTCGAGGAAAAAGATCATTTTTTTAAAGAGGAACCATATAATTCCAGATACCTGTTTGAATCTTGACTCTGTGTAGTTTGGATGTGAACTGATCATTAACTGTGAATATGTGGCCATTTTCTATTTCCTTGGACTTGGGCTCTTTCGTAAGAACCCGCTGGGTTGGTTTACCACAGGCAAGGGACTGCAGAGCTCTAACAAGTTCTCTTTCGGGGATATCCGTCTCTTGCTGAATTTCCTGAAATTCCATCAGATTAACATAGTTAGACTTTTTGAAAGATTACAGTAGATTAGTTAATTAGTAAAGTAAAACTGACCAAGCAGTAAGTAGTCAGAGGTAATTCCATTAAAGAGATAATTTGCAACAAAGAGCTCCCTTTACAACAAAGAGTTTATAACAAAGAATTAGGACTCTTCACTAAAATCTCACTTATTTGGAGGAACTAGAGAGAAAGTATTTCAAATTACAAAATATTGAAAAGATATGTACATTTTTGTTTCAGGAGATACAAGGCCTGGCCTAAAAATGTCATCCGGCAGAGTTTATTACTCACCTGCTTTAATATTTAGGTAAAAATAAAGTGTTAACCAACAAAGGACTGCTAATTTTGGAAATACTCTATAATCCTTCTCCCAAATTAATCCACACTACTTCTGCTCAGCAACTTCCTTCATAGAAAGAAGCAAAGTGAGCCTGAGCTAAGGTCTTCTATCATACAATCAAAATTTATAATCCAAGTTGACTGTATTTACTGCCTGTATGACCAAATGAAAAAAAAAATTAAACACCTGATAGTTAATTCTGAACACGAAAAAAAGTTAAGACATATGATTTAGTTCCCACACGTCTGCAGAATGTAAGATGCCGCCCAATCCCCACGGCAGGATATACAGCTGATTTACTGTCCAGAGCTGTTTCTTTCTCAAAAGCAGCTCAAGAAGAATGGGTATGAAGATGGGGATATTGACTATATAACTGATCTGAAGAATCATTCTCTCTTTCACAAATCTGAGCAACACCTCAGGCTGCTCTAAAGGACTGTCTGGCAAGTGAGGATTGAGAGAAATGCGAATTTAGTGATGATGAGGCACATTCCTTTGCCTCAAACGATCTCTGTATGCCTACGTTAGCCACGTCAAATGCTATGTATGTTATTAATTCCAGCAAGTTAAATAGGTGCTATCAGAATGTTGATTATAATTATTATGTACATGCCAGAACGGACTTATTTACATATGCTACTGCTTAATCATATTCAAAGAACTAGAAATACCTTCTTAGGTGTTATTTTACAATTGCAGATCACTGCAGGAGGTGACTACTGCAATTCAGTGTGCATCCTTTATGACTTTTCCTACACACCTACATACACACACAGGAATACAAAGACCCATGTATGTACATGAAGATGCCCATTCATACAATGGTATTAACATTAAACATACATGGGTTATCTACTCTGTAACATGTAAACTTCCCATCTGAGCACATTTACCCTTTCATATTCTTTTGCTTTTATTGCCCCCTTGGTACAAGTCTTCTACCTTTCCTGTTAGAATGATTCCTAGGAAGATCATGATTCTTATTTAAAATATAACTTTCCTCATCTCATTTTCCGATGAACTCTGATTTACAGACAAGTTGATTTTTTTCTTTGGTGGGCGGGGGGGGGGGGGGGTGCTGAAACCCGGGAACGAACTGACCAGTTGATTTTTCAACTGAACTCTCCTCAGACGATGTTCTCAGTTGATTACACATTGTCTACAAATTTTCTCACCTCCACATATTTTACCAAACCTTTTTCTTTTCTTGGTGTGTTAGTTAGGACCTATAGAACAATACCGAGTAGCAGTAATAAAGGCAGATATCCTAAAGCTTGTTCCTAACTTTAACGGGAAGGGGTCTAATATTTTACTAACTACTGCTTGCTTAGGTCTCTCATCAGATATACCCTTATGACATTAAAGGCATTTCATTCTATTGTTAGGTGGTTAAGGGTCCTCCATATCCTGTAAATATGAAATGAAGACTAATTTCTACAAATGCTTTTTATACATCTATAGAAATCATTAACTGATTTTCTTCTTGAAATGTCTAATAAGACAGCAAGTGGTCAGTAAACTTAATTATTATTATAATAAAATTTAACAATACTAAAAAATTTCTTCTTTGCATTTCAGGAATAAATCCTATCTGGACACAATGAATCATTCTTTCAATACACTGCTGAATAGGACTCGTTAATATTTGATTTAAGATTTGTGCATTTAAGGTTGAATAACCTATACAGCTTTTTCTTTTTTGTAGTCTCCTTATTCACTTTTAGTAATAAGGTTATGCTAGCCTTGGATATTTCCCAAAAGCAATATGGGTGTTTTGTTTCTGAGTTCAAAAGTTCTCTGTAAAGCTTTCACTTTGATTTGCTAATTATGAAATCTTCTGTATCTTCCTTTTTATTGTCTGGTCAGTCATTACATCTGTGAGGGACGTCTATGATTGTGAACTGTTTCACCTTGTACTTCTAACCATTTTCCTTTATATAATGTGAAATTATGCCATTAGTGATTGCTGTAACTTCCTAACAAAATCAATTATCAATGTTGTTCAATCATTCTCTATTTATAGTCTACTGCCTAATTTTGATCATCTTCTATTTATAGTCTACTGCCTGACATTAATTTTGCTATTGTCCATTAGTTTTTATACTTCACACTCTTTCTCAGAAAAATTTAAGAACTATAATAAAGAACATTCAGAAAAATATGTATTAATACCCATATCTCTTTCAAAAACCAAATGCAGGTTACAATAATCCAAGCTATAGACTTACCACTTTATGTATGTCCTGATCTTAACTGTTTTAAATAATACAAACTTCTGTTACTTAAAGAAATACGTAAGAAGAGGAAAAAGCTTTAGCAGCCTGAATACTGTGGATGAATGTGACACTATGAATGAATGCCATCTTTTGCATGCAGCTTCCATGATGGCCTGTAATGACTCTGGTATGTTTTACCTCTGTGTGATCCCCTTATCCTATCAGGGCTGACTTGGGTGATCAAGAAAACCAGAAAGTGGTAATATCTGATTTCTAAGGCTAAGTCATAAAGACACTTCAGGTTCTGCCTGGGTCTCTTGGATGGCTGGCTTCAGGGAGGAGAATTAGCCACCAGGACGTAAGGACAATCGTGCGGTAAGGTCCATGTGACACATTTCCCCATGTATTAACAGAGGAAATCAACTTGTCAGCCTTGTGGAAGGAAGAGCATACCAATAGCTTGGAAATGCATTTTCCAGCCCCAGACAAACATTAGATGATTGACACCCCAGCTGACATCTTCACAACCTCATGAGAAACTCTGAGACAAAACTACCCAACTGACCCTCACCTAAATCTTTAAACCACAGAAACCAGGAAAGAGAATGAATTGTTAGTGGTTGTTTTAGCCACTAAGTTTTAAGATGTGTTATGTAACATTAAGTAACTAATACACCACTTTTCTGAACTTGTAAAGAAACAACACTGAAGTTTAAAAATCAGGTTCCTCTTAAAAAACATTAAAGTTAAATACTTTTAAACTATCTTCTCTAATTTGTGGAGATGATTTCTGTAAAAGACTCGGCTAACCTGCGCGGCAGACTACAATGAAACATATGGTATGAGTACAAACGTGAAGTGCCTTCTCACAGTGCCCCCTGTTCAAGATGCAAGCAGTCAGAAGGCTTTGGGAGCCACAGGAATAGATCATATATATGCCATTTACACTCAGGCATCTGGTTTGTGACTTAGCTAAAATGTGAAACATTAGAGGAATTTTCTGCTTAATTTTATCCTCTACCTAATGCTGCTCATTAGCATTAGTGATCCCAAGCTAGTTGGGAAAGGGAAGAGTAAGCCTGAACCACTAAAATTACTAGTAATTCTAATAATGGCTTTAGAAAATTAGTTTGTTTTTGTTTCTCCTGTTATTTTCACCAGCTCTTTACAAAACAGGACTCTGAAAACCAACATTAGCATTTATCAAGCAATTTATTTTGCTTAAAATGTATTACCCATGGCAGATGCAGATTAAAACATTCAAGCTGTGAGAGATAATTTAATTCCACCTCTGTTTAAAGAGGTTTAGCATTTGAGTAAGGGACTCAATACTTCCTTAATCAATACCCTTGGGAGTAAGTCACATGTAACTTGTCCTTGACAATTAAGATTACTCCTTAGGTAAGACACATCTGGAAACAGGTAAGAGCAAAACCTCTTGACTTAGCTACTGACCTAAAACACTTGGGTTTCAAAGCATTTCCTTGAGGTATATCACATAAAAATGATCATCTCTTAATTACATCTTTCACATAAATCCAAGTATGAAGGCAGGTATTAAAACAGGCCCACAATTTAATTTTGCTCTAAATTTCGAACTTTAACTTATTTCTATGTTCACCTATATCTAAAAACTGACTTTCAATTTTAAGTATAAAATTTTACAGCTTTTCAAAGTATTTATTCTTTATCTTAAATTTAAACTTAAGAATCACACGATCTTTATTTCAACTCTAATGTACCCATTAAAGGTAAGGGAAAAGTCCAAATGAATTTAATGCAATCAAAGGACTTAAAGGAGGAAAGAAAAAAAAAATGGGTTATACAAAAGAAAACTGACACTATCAAGCTGGTATTCATCTAGCCTAAGGATAGATGGAGAAATCAATGAAACAGCTCAGAGTGTAGAAACAGACCCACACATATATGGTTAATTGATTTTTTTTCATAAGGGTGCCAAGGTAATTTAAAGGGAAAAGAACAAACTTTCTGACAACTGATAATGGAAATGAACAACTATCTGTGTGTGTGTAAGGGGGTACAAATCTTTATTTTTATGTATTTATTTTTTAAGTAAACTCTACCCACAACATGGAGCTTGAACTCCTGACTCTGAGATCCAGTCATATGTTCTACTGACTGAGTCAGCCAGCCACCCCAAGGGGGTGAAATCATTCTTAATCCTTAATCTTAACCACATAAAAAAATTAACCTGAAACTGATCATAGACTTAAATGTGAAAGCTAAAACTAAAAAGCCACTTAGAAGAAAATACAGAAGAAAATCTTTGTGACCTCAGGGTAACCAATAATCTCTTAGCTATGATATCGAAAGCATGAACTACAAAAGGAAAGAAGTGGCAACTGGACTTTTATCAATATTAAAAACTTCTGCTCTTCAAAAAATGTCATTTAAAGAAAATTAAAAGGCAAATGACAGACAATTCACAGCACACAGGTCTGACAAAGGATTTGTATCTAAAATTTATAAAAACCTTTTAAACAACAAGTAAAGATAAGACTTCACCAAACAAGACATGTAAGTGGCACAGGAACACAGAAAGGATGCTCAACATCTTTACAGTCAAGGAAAGGCAAATTAAATCCACAATGAGATACAATTACACTTACCAAGTTACACAGTTAAAAGACTATTACATTTTTTAGAAGATATGGGGCAACTGGAACTTCTCTACACTGCTGGCAGGAATGTAAAACAGCACAACATTTGGGACACATTATGGGTCTCTTTAAGAAGTTTAACACATCTCTCTATTCATAACAGCCTAAATCTTGAAAGAACCCAAAGCCCCTCAATAGGTGAATGGGACTCAGCAATAAAAAGGAATGAACTACTGAAACTATACACACACTGACATGGGCAAATCTTAAAAATGTGATGTGAAAGAAACTGGACAACAGCAACATATACTCTAGGATTCCATTTATCTGAAATTCTAGTAAAGTAAAGCTAATCTACAGTGATACAAAGCAGATCACTGGCAGTCTGAGCACAGGGGGAGGGATGTGATTGCAAAGGAGTATAAAAATTTAAGGAGTAATATTCCATACCTTGATTGTGATGGCACTTATACAAGTGCATAGATCTGCTAAAACTCATCAAATTATGCACTTAGATGGGACATGTTTTATCATGCAAAACTTATGGTTCCATAAAGTTAATTTTTAACAAACTAAATGAAATGTGACCTAATATGTGTATGGTGTTTATAAAGTTCATAAACTGCTCATAAGTTTTATGCTGTTTACTCAAACAGTATTCAAAGGTTACTTAATAATAACAATAATAATAATAATACTCAAATAATAATAACTTTACGGGTTACTCAAATAAGCAACACTCCAGTAACAGGTGAGAATCAGAGATAATACAATGCTTAAAATTTATACAACCAAACCATACCTCAAATGTGTATTTTTCTCTATTATTAAAGAGCATTAATATGGTCATCTGGAAAGTGGAGACCTGCAATATGTGCTTCCGCGTATTAGAGCCAGTTACTTGTGCCCCTCCAACACCAACTTCGGATCCATCTTCCTGTTTCATTATTTAAGAAACATAAACAAGATAAAATTATCTCCTGATAACTTTAACTGTATGTTTTTCAGAGATAAGCACTGTAATATTCAACTCTTCCCTTAGCAAAACTACGTAACTAATTTCTACATGAAAAGGAAATGTCACTTAAAAAATGGGTATGTGTATGGGTATGTACACACACACACACACACACTAAATTTTTGTTAAAGGACTGTCCTTTTTTTCCTCATTATGAACATTTTAATGTATCTGATAAAATGAAGCAACATTCCTTATAGTTACAGCTGTAATTATTTTAACAGTACACAATGGGATAATGGATTTAAAAGATAACACTGCCATTTTATAAGCTCCAAAAAGTAGTAGGAGTTTCCTTCAGTGTGGTCTGATCACAGCAAGAGATCAAATAACAGCACAGGATGGAGGGGAAAACTTCTGCCATCCTTAAGCCTATTCCTGCTCTATGATTTAAGTACAAAATAGAAATTTAAGTCTTCAGTAATTAATATACAAACTGTTTTTAAAACCCAGTGATCTGTTTAATAAAACTTCAAAAGAAAACATGGTTATTTAGGGAAAAACCCTCTCCTCTAAAACAAAAGCAAGCAGTAATTAAAAGTTGAGTTTTTTGTATCCTTAACTTTCCCACTTACACTCATATACATAGCACTGTCAAACATTATTCAGTAAATGAATTGCAAAGAATACTTCCCATTTCAATTAAATATAAAAATCAGAATGTGTAGACATTGACAGTAGTAAAAAAATGTGTTACAGTGACATATGAAACCAGTAGCACTATTATTAAAATAAAGAATAAAACTGTTATTTGCTGCCTAAATAACAACTTGGATATTTTTTCTTAATGTTTTTCTAAGAGTTTTTTATTATTTTTCTATGTGAAGGAAAATGACTTTGATTTGATTTATACTCAAGCAATGAAAGTAAATTATCAGTCTAAACCTCCAATTTTTGATATAAAAAAGAAATTACATTTTTAAACAAAGGCAATTCATTAGTGCCTTGCTAATTTTTATAATAATCACTTTACTAATATGTTGCTTATCTCACAAATCTCGTTAATTTTCCTGGTTTTGATCTATTGGAAGTAAGAATTATAAAAGACTGAGAATTTTGAAAAGGAACAGTTTATTATCTTATGCAATACTGTCTCAAATTTAATCTTATAAATATAACGCACAATTGTATTATATTTTCCTGAAGGAAGGCTACTGATACAGTCTTCATACTGTCCAGTGAAGCTAGCCAAATTGAGAGAACAGAAGTTAACGCCAGTTTCCCCTTTAGAGTATTTCAAACAAGTAGGAAAATTCTTAGGAGAAATACATTATTTATCCAGATCAACAAAAATCAGCAATCAGTTCTATAAACTAACTTTAATTTACTTTATGTAAGTATGTTCAAACTATCAATATTTACCTTTTTAACTGGTCCATAAAATGTAGCATTGAGATCTGCAGAACCCATATGATGCTGGAGTGTGAGCTGTCGACCACTGTGTTTGGCTAAGTAAAACCTTTAGCAAATCAAACCAGGTTTTAGAGAATCATGTAATTTATACATTTGGAATTATAATCTACAGGATAACAACCCTTAGTAAGCATCTCCGTGCAAGGGAAACATTAATCTCTATTACTATCCTTTGCCCCTTGGCCTGCTGCTCATCTGCTACTATTCATATGATCAACTTTTCTCCATAGTAACCCAGCCATGAATTTGCTCTAAGCCAGGGGCAGACATCAACAACGCAACTACACTAACCATGGAAAACGGTCCTCTCCAAAGAGTTTATGCAACTCATTTTTACGTATTAAAAACCATAAAGAACAATTTCTCCTTTTGAACATGAGGTAAGAAATGGAGTAAATTCATCCTCAATTAAGGACACACTTATGCCCAAGTTTATTTCAACTCTGGACAATTTTTGTACTTACAAAGTTTGATCTATGTTTACCTTCTGAATATCTCAAAAGCATGTCTTGGTGCTGGTGGGATGTTACACTTTGGTGTGGCTGACTGAGTGGGCCAATATCCTGTTGTGAGCACCCGGACTGTGAGATCAACACCACCTAAAGATACCTGTATGAAAGATAAAAAAGATGTCTCCCTCAAATTAACTAGAATTTGTTTTCCATTCCGTATAGACACTGCATTAGAGTTATCCAAGTATTTAGCTCCATGTCCAATATCTAACAAATTATTCTTCTTAAAGATGAGATCAGTGTTTTCAAAAAAATATTTTTTTTTAAAGATTTTATTTATTCATTTGACAGAGAGAGATCACAAGTAGACTGAGAGGCAGGCAGAGAGAGAGAGAGAGGGAAGCAGGCTCCCTGCTGAGCAGAGAGCCCGATGTGGGACTCGATCCCAGGACCCTGAGATCGTGACCTGAGCCAAAGGCAGCGGCTTAACCCACTGAGCCACCCAGGCGGCCCAGTGTTTTCCCAAAATTTTAACTATCCTGGCAAATACCTATATTGCTTAAGATGCTGATTTTAAAATAATGACCAAAAGAGAGTTCTTAGCATACAAATGAAGTCTTACTGGTATCACTGAGAAGAGTGAAGTTTTGACCCTTATGGGTTTTTTAGATAAAATGTCAATGGGCCCTATCACTATCATTTTAGAGAGCATTCTGAACGTTTCATTTTAAGGATATTAATCTTTCATCTTAAATATTTTTATTTATTTAAATATTTTAAATATTTTTACCATCTTAACAACCTATTTCTAATATCCCGTTCCCATTTCAACTACAATGATCAGAACTTCCATGTTTTCATATGTAGTTCTTAATTTAACCACCTCTGCATAGGGCACTGCAAATCTAGTTCTACACAGTGTGCTCTACAAATACTGGATAACTGATAACCACCTCTACAAAATATATGCTAGCATTACGGTCACATTTAGATGTTTCCTTCTTTATGCATAAATTTTTAAGAAAACTAGAAAGCACATTGTAGGAATTCCTCAGGGTGAAATATTACCTTTACTATTGATATTCACAGCTTGTTCTAACCATTTTTCTGTATTTACCTAACCTGGGTGATTAGTGATGCAGATTTTTTAAAAGGGAGGGTTAAACTTCATAAATATCAAGAAGTATGCCACACTCAGATTCTTCACAAGTATCTACTAAGTACTCAATTTTAAAGATGTTTGCAGGGTGGGGGTGGAGGGCCGAGCGCCTGGGTGGCTCAGCTGGTTAAGCAGCTGCCTTCGGCTCAGGTCAAGATCCAGGAGTCCCAGGATCAAGCCCCACCTCAGGCTCCCTGCTCTGCCTTCACCCCATTCGTGCTCCCACTCTCTCTCTTTATCAAATAAATAAAACTTAAAAACCAAACAGAAGTTGACCTAGTAATCTTAGATGCCATGGAGGAGAGAGGGCCACAGGAGAGACTCTTAGATGATGAGCAGAGAGAGGTTGGCAGTGGGAGTTGGTGCATTTTCAAGTGGCAGTAATGGTGTCACAACTTGGTTCAGTCCACCCAAGACAATACAGTTTTTTCTCCTTTCTCCCATGTACCCACATAGCTTGCTCTCTGAACTTCAAATCTTTCCTCAAAATGTCAGTTTTTAGAGGAAGCCTTCCCTGACCACTTTGCCACTATAGTTTTCCTCCATATCTCCTAACCCCAGCTAAGGTGCTATGTGCTTGCTTGTCATCTGTCTCCAGATGAGAATGAAGTTCCATCACGGAAGGGAATGAAGTCTCTTCCATTCTCTGCTGTATACCCAGCGCCCAAACAATGCTCGGCATGGAAAGCACTTAACGAGTTATTTGTTAAATGGAAAAAAAACAAAAACAACCTCAAAGAACTATTGCTTTACTCGTTTCGACTTCCTCTTCCTGTAGCTTTTTAAGCAATATTTTGAAGACATTCAACTTATTTGCAAAGATAGCACATGACAGGGACAAGTATACAGAAACTGAGATATCAGAAAGTCTGCTGGGATGTGATATGACTTGCTGATATAAATAAACAAAAATATAATAGCAAGCCTGGTTTCCCAGCCCCGTCCCAGTTTTTAAAATAAAAACGCAGGAAAAAAATGGACTAATACTTAAAACTTCCTTCAGCATAATAATTAAGATTTATCAAAATAAAATATACCACAAATATTACTTCAATTTTAAGAAACCATGTGTTCTATTACTTCTAAAAGTAAATGGAAGAGCCTCTATCTTGATATATCTCAATAGGCCAAAAGCACTTAATAAAGTTAGAGAAAGGTCTGCTTGAGGATTGGTGGTATTTTAAAAGGACTCAAAGATTTCAGAAAGCCCAGTATTTGTTCTGATTATTTTGCCACTTGTTATCAGATGTTCCTAATGCAGATTAAGGCTTAAAAAGACTCACAGTTTAAGATCCTTAGCATAAACAATTATAAAAAGCCAGCAACTATAGGCAAATAATGGCCTTACAGTAAGTGGAAACTGCAAGCTGATTAACAGATATGTAACTTTGAGAATCTTGATAAGCACTCTACTTACTGCAGTTAACAAATTATTAAATAAATATTCTACCAGAGAGTACAAGATATACTTGGGTTATTAAGATAAATGAAAAATTCACAAACTTTATAACAGAAAATAACAAAGGCAAACAGGATCTGATAAAATCATCATGCTAAACAACCAACCCACTCCCCTTTTTTAAAATGAGCAACAGCAACGAAGTGGTCAACAGTGAACATCATAATTTTCTTATCAAAAGACCTTCACCGATCACAGACAAGGTAATCAGACACTTAAATATTGAAGAGTAAGACTGTTAAACCCATCCAGGAACATATTTCTTACAGATGGTTTATTTCAACAATATATTTACTCAGACCAGGTTATATCCCTATAGTACTCAATAAGTGTAGGATTAGTGTAAGAAAAAAAATCAACAGGAACAATAATGCTATCACATGAAAATATAATTATATTAATGTATCAGACAGCATCAAGTGCAAATCTCTAAAACTATCTAAAAAAGAAAAAAAGCATCTAGGATAACCACATTATACATTTCATGCCCAAGATTTCTATTTGTCACAGACTTGTATCTTTCCTGCTCTCAGCCCTTGTCCACAATAAACTTATATGAGGCAAATCACGTTAACTACTTACAATGGGGAAAGACCAGAAGTCCCTAAGTCAGAATGCGCGCACACACACACACGTATCTATTTCTATAGAATTAGGTATTTTCACACAATATGTCTGTGTTGAGACTGGGAGCAGTGTAAGCGATGGTTTCATAACTTATTATCAAAGGAATGGGGGTACCCTGGGAGGCTCAGCTGATTAAGCATCTGACTCATTTCAACTCAGGTCATGATCTCAGGGTTGTGATCCAGGCCCCTGTTAGCCTCTGTGCTGGGCATAGAGCCTGCTTAAGATTCTCTCTCTCTCCCCACCTCTGCCCTTCCCCAACAACTCCCCCTGCCCTGCATGCTCGCTGGCTCACTCTCAAAAAAAAAAGAGAGAGAGAAGAAAATCAGAGGAATGACCTCCAATTTTTTTAAATGGCTGTTACAAGTCTTAATTATGAAGTTGTATATGGTAACTTGTGAAAGAAAACTTTTAAAGAAAAACCTGTGGAGTTCTTTAAACTTGAGGTGAAGTTGAAAAACAGTTAAAAAAAAAAAAAAAGAAACGAAACAAAATTCTGAACATTAAATTCTCACAAAAACCCTATGGACTCCAAAGCCATGTAAGCTGTAGCTTTACTGCCCATCTGGGAGTTACAATACAAAACCATATTTATAACACACTAATGTCAGCATTTTTATACCCTGGTTTATCTCCCACAGGCTCTGAGAACATGAGACCCTTTTATGCTGATCGTCTTAGAGCTGAGAACACTGAAGTACATAGAGGAAGGTCAGGTAACAATTCTAAGATCTCATAATCCTGGGGGGTAAAGTGAGAGGAAGAGTACTAACTAAACGGAGCAAGCTTGCCCAGGCCCTGTCTTCTTTCCACAATCTATAACGGTTATTAACAGTGGGATCATTCTATTAAATTTTCAGCACATTCCCTCAAGTGGAGAGGATAAACTAAGTTCTAGGAGAATAAGAAAAAAATATTTTAACATTAATAGTTTAAAAAAGGGGGGCTTAATATGGGGGAGGATAATTTTTTAAGGTACACACAGGCAATACAAATATTGGCACTAACAACAGTTAAAGAAATGATACCAATTCAGTTTAACTTGGAGGAAATGCCCATTACAAAAGACTTCACATAGACACACATAAGTAGAAATTAATGGAGAATCTTACCCCAGTTGCCTGTAGATGCTGCCTGAATTCATCCATAGTTGTGTTTGAGATGCTCATATCCCTAAACATTCCTTCCAGTTTTGATGTGAACTGACATCCGCATTCAGTCTGTGGAAGAAAAATGCAAATATATACAAATAAACAATGGATTTTTCTATATGCAAATATATAAAGAAGTAAATTCTTCCATGTAACTGACAGCCTTTCTAAATCTTTCCAATAGCTGCACTATGCCTATGGCTACCAAACTTTAGTGTGTTTAAGAGTAACCCACCGATTTTATTTTAAAATGCAGGTTCTGGGGCGCCTGGGTGGCTCAGTGGGTTAATAAGCATCTGCCTTCGGCTCAGGTCATGATCTCAGGGTCCTGGGATCGAGTCCCGCATCAGGCTCTCTGCTTGGCAGGGAGCCTGCTTTCTCCTCTCTCTCTGTCTGCCTCTCTGCCTACTTGTGATCTCTCTCTGTCAAATAAATAAATAAAATATTAAAAAAAATAAAAAAAATAAAAAAAAATAAAATGAAGGTTCACACTCTTTTGGGGATCCCAATACACCTCACTAAAGACACGGAACAATACTCTCTGTGTTGAACAGGCAGCTCAGGTGATATTGTGAAATCAAACTAAATGGTGATACTCCCTTTCCTATATCCCTCACACTAATCCTCCTCCCCCAGATCTCCATGAATGTGTCCTGCCACATCAAGAGGAATTCCAGCAAACTACGAATGTCCCAGAACCTAAACAAACTTAAGTGCAGGATGCTCAAAAAACCAAAGCTTTATTAATGTACAGAAATAAGCATTTTAAATCAATTAAATATTTTCTAATCACATTGTGGCGTTCAATCATGTGATAAACATTAGTTAGGGGCACAACATTCCAGCTTATACACACCTTACCTTTAACTTAGATATCATATTTTTTTCAGAGTCATCAGAAACACTTTTATTTGTGAGAAGTCTCCTTGCCAAGTGTTGTTTATAATAACGTTCAAATACATCTTTTTCTTGCATAAACCTAAAAAGGACCATTGCCTTATCCAATATTGTTTCTACTTCTTGTTCCGTTAGCTGTAAAATCAATGAAAAGACAATTTAATAACTACAAAACTTTAGTTCTAAAAAAATAGCACCACAGTTCATCTGCTGTTTAAAAACAAGACAGGGGCACCCGGGTGGCTCAGTGGGTTGAGCGTCTGATTTCAGCTCAGGTCATGATCTCAGGGTTGTGAGATTGAGTCCTGCATTAGGCTCTGTGCTAGGCTTGGAGCCTGCTTGGGGTTCTCACTCTCCCTTCTCCTTCTCCCCTACCCATCCCCAAAAACAAAAACAAGACTGGACAACCATGTAAATAGTCTGGTTGAGAGATGTTGTCAGGAGGGACCTAGTTTGAGAACGTGCCTCTTAGAGTAGCACCACTCTTCTACATCCTCATCTAGTGCAGAATGGATCAGGGACTGGAGTTCCCTTCCCTAGAGGGCTACCACTGATGGAGCAAATAAGGGGATACTGGCTGGATTAAAGGATCACTGAGAACAAATGAAATGAAAAAAAATTTTTTTTTAAAGATTTTATTTATTTGAAAGCGAGCAAGTGAGAGAGAGATCATGAGCTGGGTTGGAGGGTGAGGTTCAGAGGGAGAAGCTGACTCTCCACAAAGCAGGAAGCCCGACGTGGGGCTCAATCCCAGGACCCTGCAATTGTGACCTTAGCCCAAGGCAGAGGCTTAACCAACTGAGCCACCCAGGTGCCCCTAAAATGAAATTTTAATCACAAAAAAGAATCTTACAATGCTTTTTCATAGCATTTAGGCAGAAACTTATATAAGTAAAAGACAGGTATTTTCCTATCAGCTCTTCTGTGCAAACAGAAGAATAATAATTGGTTATTTAATTAAAACTAAAAAGGCCTCTGTTCTTTTCTTTTAAATAAGGGCAAAATGGTATTGTAGCAGATTTTATTAAGCATACATTTAAAAATATGAAGACTAATGGATGTTCTTTCTTACTGTGATCTTCTTCTTGTTTGTTTCTTCATTGTTATAATTGTTATAGCTGACTGGAAAACCTATGGCCATTTGCCACTTTTCCCTTTTGTTTCACATATACTAAGATGAAGTTAACAAGACCAATGTATGTGTGATCACAATATGCTTAATTTGGTTTTCTTTGCTGTAGTAAGCTCCAAGATCCCAGATACATAATAAAGGCTTTCAAACTAGTTTCTGGTAGCAACTCTAATCTACTCCTTCACATTCTTGGCATCCAAGTACTATTGTTTGATACGTAACTCCCAGAACCAGATGACTGCAAGCAACATTCCATGCTGATAGTTGTCTTCTAGTTCCCTGTTATCTCTATAGCATATCAAACCCTCACAGTCCATAGACTGTTGAACAATTGTGGCTGTGCAGCTGTTTGGTTCTGATGTAAATTATACATTAAGTGAAATGTCAAAATACTTTTAACCATTTCAGATACTTAAACAATCCTTTTCAAACATCACAGCACACATTTAAAGCACAACAAAGGAACAGGCTTTATTTCATACCTACAACATGTCCTATTTTTGTATTTCCTAATTTTATATACTATTTTAAATCTACAAATAAAACGTAATGTGTTTTCAAATGCTTTAATACTTACCCCTTTGACTCCCTTCTTCAGCTTATCATCAATAAATAATGAGAGGTATTCAGGGGACCTGGAGTTGAGGTTGAGAAAATACTCAAAGTCACCCGCAATAGTTTGTTTAAAGAGCCGGTCATTATTGAACGATTCCTGGAGGAAGCGATCAAACCTACTCTTCAGATCCAATAAGCCCTTCCAAATAGAAACAAAGAAATTCAGGATACATTATATAATAATTTTCTTTTTATAAACAATACACTTACAATCAGGTATGTTTATCTAATCTTGCTGGTAATAAATGGGTGCATTCGGTGTTAAACTTATAGGTTCTGTATTATTATTTTCAAGACTTTATCTAACCCCATATTAAACATGTCAGCAATCCATTTTCCATTTATGTATTACTCTATTGAAGATGAACTAAAGAACCTCTGTGCTATTTCCCCACAATCTTCTTTGTCTTGATTGAATGAGTAAAGCCTAAAAAAATCAGCTTTTTAAAAAATTATTTAAATTGAAACATGAAAAACTTGAGGCATAATTTATTCATAGTATTGCTTGAAAACACAACATTTTCAAACAGAAAGTATTTAACTGAAAACAGTTACTTTTTTCTCATACCCCAAAGTACAGGAACACTAAAGCATACAAAAAAGTAGTGATTTTCATTCCTGAAACAATTTAAACAAGGTCTTCATCAAACAGGTTAATGAATGAAAAGTAGCAGTTTGGTTCCCTGATATTAAGATACATACTTGGCAAAATCCTAAAATATTTAGGATAATTACATATACTACATTTTTCCATTGGGAAAATTAGAGTAAAAAATACAAAATACAGCTTAGGAAAAGTGAACTTCTTATTAGCATGTGTCAAAATTATTTTATCACAAACTTAAGGAAAATCTTCTGTATTCGCTTACCTGGATATAGTCAACAGGATTCTTTCCTTCGCCTTCCTCAGAAACAAGGGCTTTACCTTGCTCCCTCAAATAGGAACTCATACACTCACACATTGTTTTCAAGCCATTTGGCACACGACTAAATAACTTGTACATGCAAGCAAGGTCTGCAATCAGAAAGAACATACAAATTGACTACATTAAGAATTAAGAAAAAAATGTGAATCTGTTTATTCTGACTTGTAAATTTAAAGAAGCTTACTTTTTAACTTTTCACTACTACTTGCTGATCATGTAAAAAATTACCAAAAACACCCAGCAAAATAGACAAAAGGAAAAAAATTAGGCTAAAGATTATTATTGCAACTTATGAAATACAGCTTTCAGATAAGATGCTTTGAGGGCATCAATAGGTCTGAAAACATTTTACTTTACATGGAAGACGCCCATACAGCATAATAAAAAAGCCACACAAAAAAATGAAAACTGCAGCTTTGAGTTCTTACACAATTCTAATCTAAAGCCCAGTAATAATACACAATATCTATCAAAAGAATAATTTCAATTATTGTGTAACTAGTAGTCAACATAATAAAAACCAATTAAAAATCTTACAGATATTTTTGGGTATGTCTATCTCGAAGTTCAAACAACATGAGAATAAATAAAATAAAATATACTAGAATTTATTTCATTACACACCATGACAAAGTTTATTTATGAAACTTTTAGCATATATTCCTATTCCTTAGTATTTCACTCAAAGCAATCCCTAATATTTCCCAGGTGATTTCCTAGGCCAATACCTATATTTTAAAAAGTGGTTTATCTCACTATATTATTCTTATTTAGAATTCTTATTTAGAATTATTCTTATTTATTCTTATTTAATTCTGGATTCTGTCCATTTTTTCTATTATTTTTCACAATATTAAAATGTGGAGGTAAAATACTGCTTTCCTGTTATGTCTGCTGTTTCTTTGAAATAAGAACTTACCGAGACTGTGTCAAAACCATACAATGATATAAAAAGCTTTATAATAGAGAACTTTTGAAAATGTAATTAGAATAGCAGTTTCTAGACTGGGGGCTGGGAATTTTTTTCTTGTAAAGTACCAGAGAGCAAATATTTTATAGACTTGTGGGCCGTATGGTCTTGGTTGCAACTACTTCAGTTTTGCCACTGTAACAAGAAAGAAGCCACAGATAACACAGAAATGAATGGGCAAGACTACGATCCCATAAAATTTTACTTAAGGACACTGATAACTGAAAATTCATTTAATTTTCATATGCAGTGAAGTATTATTCTTCTTTTGATTTTTTTGCCCCCTAACCAAACTGATGGTGGGCCACATTTGACAGACAGGCTATAATTTACCTATACAGGTCTTCGTTTTAACAGTTATTTAGAACTTAAAACTAAAGTTGCATATACTTAAAAAAAAAGTTAGATCCAAGCTTTACAAAAAGGGCTTCTAAAATTTGTTTCAGTGACTTTCAAAAAAATCAAACTGTATTAAAAGTAAGTGTTCAGCAATGTATGTCCTAAAGTAAACTAAATACAGCAAATCTTATAGTTTCACATTTGGCATAAATTATAACCCCCCAAAAGTAATTTTTTTTAAAGATTTTATTTACTTTGAGAGAGAGAAGGAGTGCAAGCAGGAGCGGAGTCAGGGGCAGAGGGAGAGAATCTCAAGCAGACTCCACAGTGAGAACGGGAACCCAATGTGGGCTCGATCCCAGGACCCTGAGATCAAGAATTAGCTGAAATCAAGAGTCAGGTGCTTAACTGACTGAACCATCCAGGCATCCCAAGAAGGATCTTTTAAAAGGTTAAAGGTTAAAGCCTCTGCCTTCGGCTCAGGTCATGATCCCAGGGTCCTGGGGTTGAGTCCCACATCAGGCTCTCTGCTTGGCGAGGAGCCTGCTTCCTCCTCTCTCTCTGCCTGCCTCTCTGTGTACTTGTGATCTCTGTCAAATAAATAAATAAAATCTTAAAAAAAAAAAAGGCAACATTGTCTGGTTTAATCAAACAAATTTACATACAACTTTCAGGAAGAAAGAAGTAGAAATAGAAGCATTTCAAAACACAAAGCAAGGACTACACTAGAGGAAGCACAGAAAACAACCTCCTTTCCCATCATCTTACTTTTCTCTCCTCTTACATCCCTCCTCCCCTTTAAATTGTTCACTTAAAAATTGTTTTTCATTCCCTGTCAAGCTCTTAACTTCAACAGGCAATATGTGTTTCTTTTATAAGAAGTAGCAAAATGCTGCTAACATATCACCTAAGAAGCAGGAAAATAGCATGAGTACCATGTTTGTTTATTTTTTAATAGCCTATCAGTAACTTCCAAAGTCATAGTTTTGAAGTAAAAATTCAGAAATTAAAAACAAGGACAACAGTGACTATTACTCTTTTACTTATAATTTCTCATAGGGAAATCATAAAATACTGTTTTTAGGGAAAAAAAAGGGTAAATACCCAATAAGGATAAATGCTACAGTTATCTCAAAACTGTGTACCTTTACTTTTATAAGGCAATTCTTCTTTCTCTGAAGTCTGTAACCTCAAAGTTCCCAAAACCAATCTACTTAATCTATCTGAAATGTCACATGAAAGACATTATTTTTCCATTTCCAGCCCCCTTATCACAACTCACTCCCAAGGAAAGCCTACAGAAATTTTATGATTGGAATGTCACATTTAGAAGAATCACACACACAAAAAATCATATAGAGACTATGTAGCAATGCCGAGTCCTACTCTCTTGTACATAAAAAGGACAGGAATATTAGGAATATTAGACCTCTGGGCTAAGAAAAACAAAAAAGTGAGGAGACTAAAATGAAAGATAGGAAAAAAGAGCCATTCAATTAACAAGAAACACCAAAAATCTTCATTAATAAAGTGTAAAGCTTTACACTTTACACTTAAACCTCATCAAAGTAACAACAGTTAATAAATTAATGACACACGTAACTTTAAGACTAACATTTATAATCTATTTTAATTATAGGAAAATTTTTAAAAATTACTAAGAACCTGGCAGAATTATAAAGATTTAACTGTATTTCAATTGCTGACACTTACCTTCTGTCTTTCCATTTTTCAACATATGTACTAGCCCAGAATTTTCCATTTCTACTATGGTTTTCATGTGCTTGGAAATGAGCTCCCTCTCAACCACCTTTACTATTGGCTCTTCAGTTGATTTGTCAAGGCAGTGCATCACCCGTTCTATTTCTTCATTAATTCTAGCTTCTACTTTCTTTATATATACTGAAGCACTGTTTTCTGCTAAAAATTTCTGGCTTTCCATCTGCAAATAAAAAGCATGTTTTTGCTTTTTTTTTTTTTTAAAAACAGAGAAGCAAAATGTGTTTCTCCTTTTAACTGGGTTTCTATAATATTTACCATAAGCCAAGCTAAATATCATAAGCACTATTAACATTTTATAGTTTATCATACATATCCACATAGTCTGAATTATATCCTTGAAAGCACTTATCACATTAAGAGACATCAATACATTATCCTTAAGCAGTGTTTTTTCAAACTTTACCAATGTACTTCAAACAGCAGAAAAAGTAAGCACATGCCATCAAGGGTCAAAAGTATAGAATGAAGTATCTGACCCCAAATCAGAGTGGAAGTGTCTTTTTTGACTTGTTTTATGTATAACTAGAAAGATTCATCATGTTTATCATAGTTCAGCTGACATACTGCTAGTTACGTAAGTCCAACTGCCACCCCACTCCCAATCTCAAAGAAGTATGTGTGCACACACACACTGAAGTTTGAGAAACAGTTTTTAAGTAACTCTTAATCTTGTCTGCTAACACCAGCCTTACAGAAGTTCCACTAAACTGTAAATGTTAATCCGAATTATCTTAACCTATATGACAGCAGGACTAATGAATATATCTAAGATTTACAAAACAGAAGACATCTTGATATAAACTATGTATAAAATTTAATAATACTTCTCACTTTCTTAACAGAAAGTAGTTTTAATCCTCGAAAATAAGTTTCTAAGGACATTAACACACCAAATAAAACTCCTGGTGAGACCATGTCTCCATTCACTGTTAAAAATAGTATGTATTGGGGCGCCTGGGTGGCTCAGTGGTTAAAGCCTCTGCCTTCGGCTCAGGTCGTGATCCCAGGGTTCTGGGATCGAGCCTCACATCGGGCTCTCTGCTCAGCAGAGAGCCTGTCTCCTCCTCCTCTCTCTCTCTGCCTGCCTCTCTGCCTACTTGTGATCTGTCTGTCAAATAAATAAAAAATCTTTAAAAAAAAATAGTATGTATTATGTATATATGCACATTCATACACAGATCAGTGCAGCACGTTTTGGAATCCTGACAATTAATCTTCTATTGGTACATCTACAACGGAATGAAGGAAATTAAAACAAATGTAAAGGTCAAAAATATTGTCAAATACATCTACCATTAGTTGCTGCATTACTAGAAAATATAGCCTGCCTCCTATAAAATTAATAGTTCATAAAGGAAGGTCCAGGCTCACCAGTGCAGGCCACAAAGGTCTTCCTGATGTGCAACAAACTAATTAAAAAAAAAAAAAAAAAAAGGCAAGTCTATTCTTTGTTTATGTGTAAATGACACCAAAACCTGAGTTCCATCTTTATATACATCCAATGGCTCTTATGAATGACCTACTGAACTATTATAACTTTGTATTCATTCATTTTTTAAAAAGCCTACTACTGGGAGTAAAAACTTTCAGTATTCAGCTAAGGCTGTTTTAACACTATAAAGCTTATCCTACTTTAACTGAGGTTTTCAGGAGGATGCCTTTTTATCATTATCTTACTTACACTTACATTTTGTAATTTCATTACAAATTAGTATTAGTTTAACTTCACTTTTAGCAATTTAGCTAGTTCTGAGTTGTTATACTGCAAAATTTCTAATTTCCTCATCAGTAGTCTTTAAAATATATATATATATGCACTATGAGATCATGCACATTTCTGTAACTTAGTACTACCAAAAGCCTGAATAGTGAGACTTTATTAGTGATACACTGCCTGTGAATTTATGGTAAATAATTTATAACATGTAAAGATAATAAAATATTATAGTTATTTCTAAGTTTGTATGTGATAACACATAATTTAAAAAATTGTGTATGTAACTCCAAACTCTTCCAATTTTTTTTCAATGGGTTTCTTCCCTGGAATGTGAGCATGGGGAGTAGGTGTCTGAAGGTATTTTCTGTACCTACCCTCCTTCTCAAACGGCCTCAGGAGAAAAGGGTCAAATGTTCAAATCAGTAACTACGTTCGGTTACTCTGAGAATATCTTAAAAGAGCACTTATTTATATCTACACTGATTACCTGAAAAAATTCTGCAGACATTTCCAAAAAAGGAGCCTCAAAATCTTCTTCATAGACGGATCGTCCTTCGAGACCTAAAATCATTAACATCTGGCAAGCATTTCTTATTGCGCCTCTGTCAAAAGAAGTTAAACCACCTGATAATCAAGTTATATTAAAGATTCAAGTAAAAAAAAAAAAAAAGGCAAGAGAAGTAGCTAGAAAGACCTTAAGAAGTTTTTTTTTAAATCAAAGCGACCCACCTCCCATAAACAACTCATTTATAACATAAGGATTTAGAGTAATTTTAATCCAAAAGCATATCTTGACTATAGAGCCATTTATCTCAAGTTGTCCTCATACTGTTAGAACTTTAAAATCTGAAAGAAAATGCACTTAAAATGTCTAAATATTTCTGTGCAGTTAAAAACAGACTATAAAAAGACTATCAGAAAGCAGTAACGAGAGAAGGGAGGCTATATTGCTTGACATGGGTACAATACGCAGCTACTCTGAGGCATTATAATTTTTTTTTTAATCCAATGGCTTTGAGGCAACCCTGCCCAAACACCAAAGCTGAAATAAAAAGAATTTTACAAGTCTTCCTCTATTGCTCTGAGTGCGGACACACAGAGAAAGCAGTCTTCCATGCTTCAAGCCGTTCTAGCTGCAGTGTCACAAAAACGATACTGCAGCCATGCAAGAAGGGGAGACAACGTGACCTAACAGAAGGGGCACGGGAGAGTTCTTAGTCATCGTACATTATGTTCAACACTTTTCTTCAAATGTGTTAAGAACGAAGGCTAGCCTAAAGCCTTTTAAAGAGAAAGACAAAGGGAACAAAACATGTTATCACACAGTAAAAAAGAACAAAATGCTAGCATTAAAAAATACATGAAAAACCAAAAGGGAAGACTAATGGCTGATTTGTTTTTTTTAAAGTATATTAAATAAAAGCTCAGGATGGTCTCTTTTAATAATAGGTATGTGCTTTTAAGTTAAAATCTAGGTAACTTTATTAATTGTAAAAATGTTTTTGAGGATTTTCATTATGTCCTAGACAGTAAATCGGTTCTCAAGATATTAACCACTAAAAAAACCAAACACAAAAATATAAAAAGATGATTATACCGATCTACAACTTCTCCTTTCCGCTCTCTTGCAATCATGTCCAATAGTGTTTGTCGTAGGTGATCCCTAATACACCCATAACGTACAACTTGATCGCGAAAAATAATTAATCCCAAATTGTAGACATTCTCCACATTATTTTGTTGTACATATACACGGTCCTGCAGTGAAAACAAAGTCATAGAAACATGAGCACAATTCCTGCAAACATAAAAATAATCATTGTGAGCTACAATACAGGAAATAAAATTCCAGAAGCAGCCCATTTTTCAGGTGAGAAACACTTCAAACTATTTTAAGCACCATGGAATTTTCTAGCACCTCCCAAATGAAGTAAAAGTCAATCTTTACAGTTTATAACTGTACAATTTACAAACAATTGGCTATAGGTGGTCACCCATTTAACCTGAAGAAAAAAGGTACCAGGGAACCACCACATCCAGGGAAAGGCAGGTGAGCAGAAAACAGAGGAGAAAAGTAGGCAGCAAGGTAGAAACATTTTCCTTTCTCTCCAGAGCCATACCATGCATGAACATGGTTCATACTTCCTTAAATACCGTACTTAAAGATCGTATTCTATGAAGTAAAATTAAGAGCTGAATGAAATAAAGATCCATGTAACTTAAGCTGATTGCTTACTGGTAAATATTAAAAGGCTTTAATGCTTATAATACAGCGGCATTGAGAATTACATAATTAGAACACCTCTAGTTATTGTCATTTCAAACAGATTCCTTGTAGTCCTCTTACTTTCGAGTTCTTGCCAACTTGATTACAGGTGTGTCCTCACTTTATAGAGCACATAAATTCTAGAATTATTCGCTATACAAGTCCTACTTTCTGCATTATTTGAAAATCCATATTTACACCAAAACACACTGGAATAAAACTACTAAGTTTTTAATTCACAAAAGGATTAGCAACAGAATTTCTTTCTGTTCTTAACCAGGATCTCCCTGGGCCTCAGTCTCAAAACTTCAAAAACTATGAAACTATTGTGTGCTTGCTGGTACATAATACTAGCTTTCACCAGATTCTTAAAGGCATTTATGATCCCAAACCAGTTAAGAACCACTGCAAACTGTGATACTGAAAGTTTCGTAAGGAACACTGTTCTTACACTCAACACCAAGCAAAGCCACCAGGTGAACATAAACAGAAGCTCAACCGTATCAGTGATGCAACCAAAATGGCACCGACCAACAAGGGCTAACTACATTCTCCCCTAGCACCATTCTCTTCATGTGACATCACTCCCACAACCTCCTCCATTCAGCTCCTCCAGGGCACACCCCTCCTGGCTACAAGGAAAACCACTCTTCGATTAGTATCTTCGCTGCTCACATTTCTACATTCTGTATCATCTTGGCAGAAGCTCACATTTTTAAAATCGTGCAACTTCAATAGGCTCAGAATTTTCACAGATGACTCTCTGATAAACTTCTGTTTTTTAAATATGCTTTTGTTTTTTTCCCTTTGCATAAAACTAATGTGGTGGCCACATCTGGAGCCTGGGTCCTTTTCACGGAGACTCTGGTGTGGATCTTTACAAGAATTGGTGAGTTCCTGATAGGGAGACTTGGTGAACACAGTCTTTCCAGAGGTCAGGGTGAGAGAGCTGTAGGTCTTAGAAATGATACCAAAACTTGGCGAAGCTGCCCAGGATGGCAGTGCAGCCCCTGGCTGAGGGGGAGCAGTCGTCAATACCACAGGCATCATCAGTAGCTTCTTGAGCATGGGCTGAGACGATGCCAGTACCTCTAAGGGCAAGGATGAGGCGTATACTAGCACAGAGCCACAGCAAGCCAATCACCTTGCATGGGACAGTGTGGCGCTTGTTGATCTTGTTCCCCCATGGGGACCCTGGAAAGCTTAGACCAGGGTGATGGACCCTGGATAGCATTGGCTATTTCCTTGTAGCACTTAATACCCAGACCAACGTATCCAGTCTAATGTCCGATGGCAACAAATGCCTTGAACCTGGTCTGCTGGCCGGCACAGGTCTGCTTTTGCAGAGTTACTACCTTCAGAATCTCAGCCCTGAGGGATGACCCTAGGAAAAAGTCAATTATCTCATACTCCTTGATGGGCAGAAAGAAGAGAGATTTCCTCTAGGGATCTGATCCCCATGTCATTGACCAGGCAGCCCAGCTTGGTGATGGGGATCCACTCCTTATCTGACCTTGCCCCTGAAAGCTCCACAGTTGGACTCAGCCTAGCCCTGAGCAGAGGCTGCCAAATCCTGTGAGGAAGCTGTTACCGTCTCCCATTCCAGAACCCATCGCTGGACACTCTATAGCAGCACTGGGATCATCCCCCATTTGGTGTTCTCTCTCCAATAAATTCTTAAGCTTTACATGTCTACCTCAAAATCTTAAATTGTGTCTCCCCAACTACTGGGGGGGGGGGGCAACAGACAGAGAACACAAAGGAGAGACAGTTTGTTTTTTTTTTTAATTTTATTTATTTGATAGAAATATCACAAGTAGGCAGAGGGTAGGGGGAAGCAGGCTCCCTGCTGAGCAGAGAGCCCAATCTGGGGCTCCATCCCAGGACCCTGAGATCATGACCTGAGTCGAAGGCAGAGGCTTAACACACTGAGCCACCCAGGCGCCCCAAGAGACAGAAAATCTTAAGCAGGCTCCCCGCTGAGCGCTGGGCCCAATACAGCTCTATCTCATGACCCTGAGATCACTACCTTAGCTGAAACCAAGAGTCGATGCTCAACCAACTGAGCCACCCAAGAGCTTCTGCCTTATTTTTCAGCAAGAAACAGGATGCATACAATAAAAGCTGGCATAAATCTAAACATTTAAAAAGCACCAAGAATCTTGTTAAAAAATACTCTATTGCATAAATCATTTGTAAATTTGATGTTTACAGTTTTACACTTGATCTTAGCCAAAAGGCCGAGAAGCGATTGATGTTTACAGTTTTAAACAGTACCATATACAGTATCACTCTCACCCTAAATAATCAAAACTAGTAACTGGCTGCTTAACTGAACATAGGTGGTAAAAAGAGAAAAACAAATGTACATTCACATATTTGCATCTTAAAAATTTTAATTTAAAACATAATACATGTTCACTGAGCTATCAAGACTTTCTTCCATCTTTGAACAAGAATCCTGTGACTGGAGTTCAGTGTTCTTTCTTACATACACTCTCACCTCATAGCAATTTTTCTACTTTGTTTCATTAAGATGGAGCATGAAAACTAGAGACATTTGTGAAGCAATCTGAATGTAAAAAAGTCCTTCTAGATTATTACGATCCCTGCTTCATTCTTTTAAATTACTCATATCTAATTCGAACGAATATTTAGTGATTTGCCTTTGTCAAGTCTTTCTAAAACATTCAATTTAGTTTACCAAAGAAAAAATTCTATCTAAATTTTTAACACCATTTTATTGGTTTACAGGGTATTAAATTATGTATTAATAACAAGTACAACTGGCATAAACAGACTTGAAAATAAATACAACTGACTTAGTAAACACAAATAACTGGTAAGAGCAAAATACAGAAGAGATACTGAAAGCAGTGAAACAGCAGTGACAGAATTCTGCATCAGGCTGTTTCATAGAATAGAAAATACTGGTAATTCCAGCAAGCACTGCAAGTTCCAACTCTACTACATGCCTATGGGACTTGTAGGGTGTGTGGGGGTCAGATTCGTATCATATATAACGTATATATGACACTAGCAAGTTTAACCTCTTAGGAAACCAAATGTTCTTACGACAGATGTCAAAAGAATTAGGTCAGATTGTACTGTTTTTGGTAAAAGGGCTACTACCTATAAAAATTACAGAACAAAAAGGCACATATAATGTAATCTTCAGAGTAAATTATGAATTTTAGAGTGGAATATTTTTAATGTTTCCCCCTTTTTTGGCTTTACTGCAGCGTGATTTATATGCCACTCATTTTAAGAGTACAGTTCAGTAATCTACAGTACATTTCTACAGTCGTCTAACAATGGCCACAATCTAGTTCTAGAACTATTTCCATCACCCCAAAAAATCCTTTGAGCCCATTTGTAGTCAATACCACTTCCAGCACCCCTGCTTTCTCTCTCTTTCTACAAATTTCTTTTTCTGGTCATTTAATATAATTGAATCGTATGTAACCTTTCCTGTGTGATTTTTCACCAAGCATAAAGTTGCAAGGTTCATAATGGTGTTAACATTTATCAATATTTCATTCCCTTGTAGTGCTGAATAATACTCTATTGTATGGATATGCCACATTTAGTTCAACTGCTGATGGGTATTTGGGGCTGTGTCCAGTTTTTGTTTACTATGAACAATGTTGCTGTGAATGTTTGGGTACAATCCTTTGGTGGATATAGGCTTTCATTTTTCTTAGGACAGATTTCTAGAAGTGGAAGTACCAGATCATACGGAAATTACTCAACTGTTTTCTAAAGTGGATGTGTCAGTTACAGCAGATTTTTGAATACAAAAATACTAGATGTGGAGTTAGGAATTCTTCATGTGAGCTCTGGCTGTACCATTAACCTTGGCTATGTGACTTTGAGCAAGTCATTTATCCTCTCACCCAAAGGGACGGTAAACATAATCTCTAAAACTCTAGTATAATTCCTTAGAATTATACTATTCCTTAGAAGAAGCTTAACTCTCTGATCAAAAATTAACATATATAAAGGATCAAGATATACTTCACTATCACTTCTTCCCTTTCTATTTTTGTTGCCAGTCTCCCTCTTTCCAATCCTAAGCACAGTGATGTGGGTAAATCTATAACCCCTTGGCTGATAGTGCTGTCTAGCTCAAGTCCTCTGGCAAAAAGACAGAAAAAGGGTTGGTTGCAACTGATGAATTCCTCATATATATTCTGTATGGGGAGAAACAATGCTTTAGTAAAGGAAGCCAGGTATGATGGGAACAGGTGGTTAGAGTGTTTGAGTAGGGCAGACAACATTCAAATCCATGGAAGATTACTGAAGACAAAAGAAATACAGATGTAGTATAAGATCTCAACCTTTGTCTTTTAATGTGAGACTCTCAAGGTGTATATAATGAATGCAATTAAATGACATATAATATTAAGAAAACCTGTTACCCCTAAGATTTGAAAGTACCAATAAATGGACAAGAGAAAACCCACAAAATATGTGTGGCTATTTAAACTAG